TAAAGGAGAAAGAGAACAGAAAAAGGAATATATGTTTTGTACTCGAATTTAACAATGTAATAAAAAATTGTAACAAGGATTTGGTATTTGGGTTGAGCAGCTAAGGAACTGATCTTAAAAATGCATATTATTTTTAAATCATGTATAAAATGATGGATAAATTTAAACATACGAATTGCCTCTTTTATTCGCTCCGTGCGTGACCATGGTAGGGGTACATTGAAACGATGCCAGCGTGCGTAGCGGCGAAATATGACAAAATTGGAATATTGGACAAAATATTTTTACGCATAAATTTTATCAAAAATGTGTACAAATGTGTACACATGTTGCGTATTTAATTGTGCTAATAATAGCAAAAACAGTGAGTGTCGTTTTTATAGGTTCCCAAAGATTACATATAAATTAGAGAAAAGAAAAAGATGAATTCGTGCTATTAATATGGAAAAGTAAATATAACATAATTTCATTTTTATGCAATTGAAATAGGAAAAATTTAAATAATTTACCTTGAATGATATTTCATAAGGCTTCAAGCTAACTGCTGATGACTTTAGCTTTTATATCATAACTTTTACTATTATTGTTTTTAATTATATGCTCTTTCGCGCGAAAAACTTGTTTTGCCAGTAATAGATTTTTCCCTTTCTTTTCCGTTTGGAGTTGAAAAGATATATTATGATGACTTTTGAGACACCCAGTTTTTAATACTACATTTATTTTGTACATAAACTGAAAAAATATAGTTAAAAAACTAATTTATTAATAATTGTCAATTTCGCATGTATTTAACAATGTCAAACATATGTCATATGTTTAACCTGAAAATTGGGAGGTCCAAAATTGTCAGATGAAGGCGGTAGTTGTCGCGTCAGTCACGCACGGAACGAATAGATAACCAGTTTTTTTTGTGGAAAATATTGCGATACTGCAAGATTATAATTATCTATTAGAAACATTCCTAGGTAATTTACATCATTAAAAATGTTCCAGTCTAATACGGATAAAAAGTTCCTCATGTTTAAGATACCCTTCTGCGTAAAGGCTCTAGTGCAAACACTTGACTTTTGCTGAATTGATGTTAAGCTTATACTGATATACTGGCCGCGAGGATCTGAGAAACAAGGTTCAAGAACATTTGCCCGAAATTGATCTTCAATATTTGTCATAATATTTTCTATACAAGTGGTAGATGTATCAGTAATTCTAGTATAGTCATGGATTGTTTGTTTTATTCCAAATGATTATATTATAGAAGTCAGCTCACTAGTATTTGTCGTTTTCACAATAAAATTAATATTAAAATCTCCCAAAACTATTACCTTTAAATTTGGCTTTATAATGGAACCTAATAAATTTTCAAAATTTGTAAAAAAAAAGACTTAAAATCGTTACATTAATATCTTGTAGAACAATTCCACAAAATTCAGATGTTTGTTCTATATTAAATTTATCACAGTTAATATCTTCGAATTTTAAAGTAATTACAGTACCACCGTTCTTTTTATTTTCCTGCAGAAACTGCTAGCAAGTAAATACCCATCGATGTTTATATATCGGAGATCTGCTTCACTCTTCCAGTGCTCTGAGAAGCAAATAACATCGAAGGTAAATTCCAACAAAAACGAATTTTTAATGAATTTGAATCTTGTTACAACAGATCCACTGGGCCATATAGATGGGTTGTATACATTATCTAGACTTTTTAAAGGGAAGCACACTTTATAAGATGATGATTATCAGTTCTATTCCATTCCTCACAATCAAAACATATTTCAGGTGCCGTTTCTTTCATACGTACATCTTAACTAAAGACATCGTCAAGTGAGTCATCGCAAAGACTAAAATCTGATAATGATTCGCTACTTGAGACAGTAATTAAACCCTTCTTTTTTTGTTATTAATTTTCTCTGGTACTTGATATCCGCTTGTACTCGCCTCGTTTTTATATGCGGGTTCAACCGACTTGTTAGAACTTCTAATAACATCTGATACATCTTGGAATCTACTGTGATTTACTTCGTCTTCTTCTCTGTGAGTGATCAAACGTGGTGCAAAGGCAGCTTCAGGTATAGCATCTGGTTTAAACGGATAAATGCCGGTAAATGCAAAACCGGAGATAATCTTTGATGGTGTCAATGCTTTTAGCTCAAATAGAGTAAAAAATTTCTCCAAACCTCATTTTGGTAATCGCCTTGCCAGGGTTTGTTGTGAAAAACTGTAGAACTTCTTGGTCCCAAAACGTCTTAAAGCTTTTAAACACTGATTTGTCCATAGGTTGCAACTCGTGTGACGTGTTGCTAGGAACACAAAATAAAGATATGTTCATGCGATTATCTGCCTCAACTATGGCAATATCTAGGTGACCTTAAGCTCCATTAAATATTAGGGACCAGCGTTTCTGAATGAAAAGAAATGGTCAAGCCACAAAATAAATGCTTCGCATGTCATACTACTTTATTTGTGACAATAGCTTTTGAGCAAGGGGACAAGTGATCAGACCATTTAGGTTTAAACCTTTGGCCTTCAAATAGCACAAAAGGCGGTACAGGTTGAGCAAGCAAAAACAATTTGTTGCTTATGGATTGTCAATCTGCATCCTTTTTTCGTCCGTAATAAATATGCTACCAGGTTTGTCAAATAGGTTTAGTTTTTCTGTGGTATGTCTGAGGTTATTAAAGAAGTCATCAATGAATATTATATTCATTTTTTGGGATCGAACCGTATTTATTAGTTAAGCTTTGCGCTTATCTACGCCTGGATGGCTACACAAGAATTACTTAAATCATGTTCTACCAGCTTTATTTGACTCTTTAGAAAGCGGATTTGGTATATGATTTGTTGTAGAGTAAGAAAACACACTTTTCATTAGACTCTTGCTTGTAATAGGCGTAACTACTTCAACTAAAGTGTAAATTCTTTCGACAAGATCATTTTCTCGTGCTGCAGACAACACCGGTAATCTTCCAAGCTTTCTTACAGGATTATGTGTTCGGTGATAAAGACGGTTGAGCAAGGAATGTTATAATGCTTGGCAGCCCCTTTGATTGACATTCCGTTCGCTATGATTTGCAGCGGCGAGCGTAGATCTTCTTCTGATCACTCAGCTCGTTTTCTTGGCATTGTGTAAAAGAGTTTAATATTTAGTCCCTAATATTGTCACTGGCAATATTAGGAATTATTAGTAATGGTAATATTAGGAACAAATGCCGTTCAGAAAAAAATCCGTAAGTTAAAATTTTATTTGAAATAATTCATGCAATTCATAAAATAATAACCACTGGAGTGTACTCACCTAATATAAAAGCCTTTTTAAAAGCTTTTGGTATGTTTCCAGTTCTAAGGATCTGTGAATAGAATGCAGCCAACCATTTTCTTGTCCTTTGACCGCATTGTAGTAGGAACTAGGATGTATCCCATCAAAACCAGGCGCCTTTCCAGTTTTCATGTGTCGGAGGGCTGATGTCATCTCTTCGTTGGTGAATTCGTGGGAGAACTTTGGCCTTCAGAACTTGAATCCAGTTGTTTGGCGTAAGTTGTTGAGTTCCTTTTTTATATATTTTGTATGTTCTTTGTCACGTGGAGCCCTCGATAGGGTCACTATTCTGCTAGCTATTTGGTCGAGGGACAAAAAGTGGGGTTTTCTAACGGGCGGGGCACTTCCCCCTAGCTTTCTACGTAGGTTCGAAAATTGCCTGCTCGATCTTCTAAAGTCCATTTTCTCCGTTGTTTTTATCCATTTGTCTCTCCGGGCTTCACTTAATGTTTGCAATAGGTCATTAGCTGCATCTGGGTCACCATTCTCTATATAGTTATTGTAGAGTTCTTCACATTCATTATTCCAGCCTGGGATGTACTCTTTGTGGTAACCTCTTGGTATACACTTTTTTGCAGTTGATATCACTGAACCTACAAATCTATCGTAGCTTTCCAGTGTGGCTGGAACCCATCTTATAACTTTATCAAGTTCAATAGAGAATTTTTGCCAGTCTGCCTTCTGAAAATTCCATCTTGGTCTGGGAGTGGATCGGACTATCGGGACCTCGATACCTACTTCATATATTATTGGGCGATGTTGGCTGTGTGAGAAATTCTTCAGGACTTTTCTTGATATATTGACAGGTTGATTTTGAGGGTTTTGGGTTGAGAAACAGAGGTCTGGATTGTATTCCTTTCATCCCTCTCTGCGGATCTAAATGTTCCCCTGTCTTTTGCATTAAATATCAGACTAAGGTTGTTTTCTTCTGCCCACTCTATAAGTGCTTCGCCGTTCTGGTCATTGCTGTGTTATTTCCACATCTTATGGTGGCTATTAAAATCTCCCGTATAAAGGCGCTTGCTACTCGCAATAAACTCGTTCTGTGTGTAAAGGCAAGTTACATTTTCCTACTATTCTTTATACATTTTTTACTTTATATGCCTTGGAAGGGGGGTTTAACCCCCCTGAGTGAGCCACAGGGTCTCTTGAATTTTTAGTTGCTCTCTATATAGAGAAGTTCTATTTGCTCAAAGTATTCTGTATAACTATGAGCATGTAATCATCTTTTATCCTACGATTTGCATGCCTAATTAGGATAACAACTACTTTCTTAATTGCCAAATATTCATTAAGTCATTAAAAAATTAATATTGTAAACTTTACATAGAAACAGGTACATCTAACTAATAGCTATTGAGTACTCTCCTTTATTATATTGTTTAAAAATAATAATAATAAACATTAAATAAATAGTATTCGAGGGCAAAGCTCCAAAAGAAAGTACCGGCTTTAAGCTTCCATCATAAGCACGATATTTAAGTAATTAATAAAAGAATGTACGTACATACACATGCACCCACAGTGTTTTTCTAATTCCGTCAGATTATGCAGTCACTTCGAGATTTCCAGTCCTCTATTATTAAATAAGAGTGCGGCATGATACGATGGTCAGTGTTTAAAAGTGAATCAAACCGAAAAGATCAGAGTTCCGTTAAATGTGAACAGCGCAGATCTTTCTAAAATGTTAATCGACAAAGCGAAAGTCACTTCCGATTATGGCTCTTTCGGTGGTCAAAGAAAAAACATCTTTGCCATTTATGCCGTCTGCTTTTTGTACGTTCTAGTGGTCGTTTTGTTTGTTTTTAATTTTCTTACCATAACTAAGGTAAAAGTGTTGGAAAACGAAGTGGAAACTCTCAAACAAACCCTTTATAACGTGAAACTGTTTGATGATAATCTTATCAAGGAGATGATTGGGTTTGAGGATGAAGAAGTGAGTATTTTTTACCCTTATTTTTCATTTTTACCGACCTTGAACTTAGATTTATTTCAGATATTTCTAGAATTCTGAAAATACTGATTTTCAGCATTTATTTTTAAAATATCATTTTTATTTTCGACCTTTCGTTCTAGATAAAAAATATTTAATGCTACCTCCAAAAACGCCGTTTAATATAAAATATATAAGTTAAATATTCGGGATAACCCATAAAAAAATAAAATATATACAATAAACTTTAAAATTTAGATTATATCATTGTATTTTCGTTAACTTTTGACGATTTAACGCAAAAGAAAAACAATAGAAACTCCATTCAAACAAATAATCTTAAAGAACAGTCTAATACTTGAATTTTTAACAAATTTTCAAAACGTAATAAATTGCAAACTTCTTCGAGTCTTCCTAGAGGATATCTGGATACGTTTTATTTGACGTTTTCAGTTGGGCTTTTAGGGGGTTTTTAAAGAAATAACTTTTTGTAATATCGTCTCAAGTTTGTAGTATTTTTGTACAATGTTCGACTATTTTATACAGCCGTTGAAAACGGGTAGTTTATTTTTAAAGAAAATCAAAATTTAAAGGAAATTTATATATGTATACTTATATGAAGTTAATCGAATTTTGTTGAAATTCCTGATGGAGTTCCTGTACTTTAATTCCTTTATTTCTTTTACTTTTTCGTGAATCTCTAGATACCCCTCTTTGCTTCTTCTTCTTCGCGTGCTATATCAGAATGTTTTTTAACCACAAAACTTGTTTTCTTCCTTTAAGGATCAGTTGTAATATTTTATATCGACTTCCCCTTACTATATGTCCCAGATAAGACATTTTTCGATGTCTTTAGCAGTACTCTATCTTTGTTGACGCTCCGTAGTACTTTTTCATTAGTTTTCCTTACTGTCCAATGTATCTTCAGCGCTCGTCTATGAACCCACATTTCCAATGCTTCAATTTTGTTCATAATCGATACTTTTAGCGCACTATACAGAAGTACAGACCAAACATAGCACTTAACCATTTTTTGTCTTAGTTCTAAACTAAGATGGTTATTGCAAAGAAATGACTTCATTTTCATAAAAGTAGTTTTAGTCATTGCTATTCTATGTTTTATTTCTACGTCTAAATCTAGTTGATCCGTTATCACAGTTTCCACATATGTCATTTTGTGAACTTTCTCAACTTGGAAACCGTTTAGTTGAAGCTTTGCATCGGGATGTGGGTCACAACTAAACACTAAAAATTTGGTTTTGTTTTAGTTTATTTTAATGTCCATTTCCTCTTCTACATCGTGAATACGATCAAGCAGAATTTGAAGACCTTCAATATTATCTGATAGAATTTCTGTATCCCAGTAAACATTGAACAATGTTGGAGATAAAATGCAACCGTGTCTGACTCCTCGTTGTATAGAGATTTCATCGGTGTAGTTATCTCCAATTTTTACGATAGCAGTTTGATTCCAATACAAATTTTTAATGACACAAATATCGTTGTCATCTATTCCGATATTTTTCAGTATTTGCATTAATTTTACACGCTATACTTTATCGAATGTCTTTTCGAAGTCCCCGAAACATGCAAATACATCTTTTCTTTGGTCACGGCATTTTTGTAATAGGATGTTAGGCGCAAAAAGTGCCTCCCTGATTCCCATAGAATTTCTAAAACCAAATTGTGTATCTTCTAGATCTTCTTCGCATTTGCGTCTAATTCTGTTAGGAAGTATTTTTAAGAAAATTAAGAGTGTGGCACATTAGGCTAATTAATCGATATTCTGAGCATTTTCTCGCATTGTGTTTTTTAGGTATTGCGACAAAGATGGATTTGAGCCAATCTGTGGGAATAACTCTGGTGTTATATATTGAATTAAAAAGTCTTACTACTACTTTTATGTCATCATTTTCTATTAGTTTCAGCAACTCAGTTGGTGTATCATCTGGACCACAAGCTTTTCTAATTTTAGCATTATTTATACCGTGTTCTACCTCGCATTTCATAATTTCTGGGCCGTCAGTACAGTTTTGGTAGAATTCGGCAATATTATTCCTGTTATCATCAAACAACTTTGATATATACAGCGGCCATTCTTTTCTTATTTCGTGCTCATTTACAATAATTTTGTTATTATTGTCAATGAGTACAGAGGGTACTGTTTTAAAAAAAGGGTGTTTTAAATATGTTTTTTTTTGTGCACATTAAATAAGTCGTATTGTTCTGAAGCTATTTTCTTGTGGCATTGTAAATTAATTACTAATTAGTAATTAAATAAGTCGTGTTTAGATAAAACATCCTCCATTTCGTCGCACCTTTTTCTCATCTATATTTCTTTGACTGATTTGATCTCCTTTTTTATTCTTCTCTGCAGGTGTCTATATTCTGTTTCATTAGATTTATTAGAGCTTATCTTCATGGTGCCAGTCTTTGCTGCAATTCCCTTTCAGTATCTACTACTTTAACTATATCAGCATACACTAAGCACCAGGGAATGTGACCATGTTGTTTCTCAGGGAAATTGCATCCACTGTTGATTGGGTATTGGGTTTTTTCATGTTTTCGCCTATGAATTATCCTCACCCATATTTTATGGGCCTGTAGTTTGTGCATTGTTGAATGTTTCCTTTGTTTTTGTAAGCAGGTGCTAATATCATTACTTAAGTTCTACATCCTTAGTAATTACTATATCTTTCTTTATTTTTTGAAGTACTTAAGAAAATCCATATTTTGACCATTGGAATTATATAAAATTTCAAGCGTAGTTTAGCCGGCATATAACTGTTTTTATTGTATTCTTTCACAAAAAGCAGATAAGGTTATCATTTACTGTGTATTTCAAAAGCTCTTGTAATTTTTTTTCTAAGACACCTTGATCCATTTGATGTACTTTTTTGTCAATTATACTTTAAAGGCAAACACTAATTTACATAAGAATTTCGTCTACATCAGGATTTTTAGGACGTGAAATCTGTTAAATATTCGGCTTTGATCGAAAGCCCGCCATTTTCAAAAATCTGGTCACAAATGCTCCAGACTATTTCTTAAACTGGATGGTGAATAACTTCGCATCCTAGAGTTCAATCTTTGGCAAAAAAATTAATGTTTTTTGCTATAACATCAGTAGCTAAAAAACATATTGTTTGTGATTCACCCTGTGTAATACTTTTAACACACTAACAAAGATTTTTCGCTTCCGCTGGTAAAGAAATCTAAAGTATGTGTCAGAAATGATATCAAATGATGACAAAGAAAATGTTTGTATAATGAATTTAATGTTTATATAAAATAAAACTATATCTCGAGTTGATAAGAATATAGCAGAATCAGACATTGTGTTGCCAGATATAATTTTCCCATGAATCAAAACGTCAAACAATTTTAAAATATTTTATTTTAGAGTTGTATTTTATTTAAATTGGAAATAACGGTTATTTGTGTATTTAGAACAACAATTGTTAGTTATTCCACTGAAACAGTTTTTTATTTTAATTTTCATCTGCTTCCTATTACAAAACAATTAAGAAATGATTTACCATTACTGAGACAGTGTTATCTGATTATAAGGTAATCATTTCTATTCTGTTTTTGAGATCTTCAATTTATCAATCTGCAATTGTTTTGCCGAACAAAGCTTGCCTTTTGTTGGCCGGAGACATATTTATTAAAATTATTGAAAAAATCCGCATGCATAAGCTTTAAAATACAACTCATGGATAAGACAGAAAACCAAAGTCACCGACGTCGTGCAAAAATCATTAAAGTTGAAATGGGAATACGCTGGACATGTAGCTAGGAGCGATCTAAACAAATGGCACAGATCAATTTTAACCTGGAGACCATACCAACACAAAAGACCCAGAGGCAGACCTCCTATGAGATGGACAGATGATGTGAAAAGGACTGCCGGGAAAAATTGGTTACAAGTAGCGTCCAATAAAAAACAATGGAAAGGAAGACTTGAAGAGGCTTATGTTCAGATGTGGACGTGAATGGCTAGACGAAGAAGAAGAAGAAGGGTAATCGAACACCCTCTGTTTATCTTGGTTGTGATTAAGCCACCTAACTGTAGGGCTAGTTAACAGCCTTTCTTTCTAGCTACTTTACTGGATTTACTTCTGATAATATATCATATTCAAGGTGTTCCGTCTGGGGAATAGGTGCTATAACAGAAGGTATTTTGTATTTTTATGTCTTCTGACCTCAGTCAGGCATTTGGTCCCTAGCAGAAAAACGGTATTATTGATGAGCAATGCATAAAATAAAATAGACAGCAAATCAAAATAAAATGTATAAAACAAAATACAGTAAAGTAAAGTAAACAAATGATGAAAGAGATGAAGGTGAGAAATAAAAATAAAATTGAATTTAAAGTAAAGATAAAAAGAATAGAGGCGATGCTATTTTTTTCTACTTATATTACTGCTTCGTTTGACTAACGTGTGGCTATCTTAGTTTTTATTATTTCTGCTGGTCCTCTCTATATCCAGCTTTTTGTTGTTTGGGCCGTTTGTGAACCGTCCTTAGATTTTCGTCATATTCTGTCATCTCTCTTAGTTTCCTGTTGGTGTGGTTCCTGAGGTTGTTGAAGATCTGATGTCTTTTCGTTCATTATTCGTAGGATTATTTTCTGTTGCGAGTCTCTAAACACATACCTTAACGACATGTACTTACGTATTCCTAGAGTTTCTCTAATTATGTGATTTTGGCCTAATTGAAACTTTTTTCTATTTGTTTTGAATGTGTGTCCCCATGCTGCAGAGGCATATTTCAATGGCAAAATTATGCTGTTGGCCATTTGGATTTTTATTTTAAATAGTAATTTACTTTGCCTATCTATTACCAAAAAGAGTTGACTTCTTAGTGCTTTGGCTTAATAGATCGTTTGGTTCACATATTCTGTAAACGTTAGTTTTTGTCAAGTGTTATTCTAAAGTCTTTAGCTTGACTGGTTCACTCATTTGGGGTGTTTGCTTTTGTGTTTTGTGGCTTGTGCTTTT